TAGGAGTATGGTTTGTCTGGGGTTTTTTGAAAGATTTATTTTATTTATTTGAAAGAGTTACAGAGAGAGGTAGAGACAGAGAGAGGTCTTCCATCTGCTGGTTCATTCCCTGGATGGCCACAATGGCCAGGAGCCAGGAGCTTCCTCAGGGTCTCTCACATGGGTACAGGGGTCCAAGGACTTAGGCCATCTTCTACTGCTTTCTCAGGCCATAGCAGAGCTGAATCAGAAGAGGAAGGAGCAGCTGGGACTAGAACCGGTGCCCATATGGGATGCTGGCGCTTCAGGCCTGGGCTTTTTAACCTACTGCACCACAGCGCCGGGCCCCTGGTTTGCATGTTTAACAGTTTTCCTTGACCAAGTCTGTAGTGTTGACATTCCCTGAAATAAAGTCTCTGCTTTAAATAGTTGTTTTCATTTTTATTTCTGACTTCCTAAGGATCACCCTCATGTCAGAATAGATTGCAGGTCAGCAATGTTCACAATATGGAATGCTTTTTTTCATTAAGTATTCTCTGCTTTGTCATGAGGACCTGTGGGTGGCTTGGAGTACATCTTCAAAGTTCAAGCAGATGAGTTTTCCTTGTCATTAGCTTCCTGCTTTCACAAGGTCTCAAGGTCAGCCACAGATGCGTAAGTAATGAGAACTTTCTCTGTTCTTTCTTGACTTTCTTACACACACACACACTGTCTTCCAGGACCTCAGTAACATATCAGACATTTTTTTTTGCTTTTTGTTTTTTAAAGATTTATCTATCCATTTGAAAGGCAGAGTTACAGAGAGGCAAAGGCAGAGAGGAGTCTTCTATCCTAGTTGGTTCACCCCCCAAATGGGTGCAACAGCCAGAGCTGGGCCAATCCAAAGCCAGGAGCTAGGAGCCCCACCTGGGCCACCCACACAGGTGCAGGGGCCCAAGCACTTAGGCCATAGTCCTCTGCTCTCCCAGGCCGCAGCAGAGAGCTGGGTCAGAAGTGGAAAAGCCAGATCTCAAACTGGAGCCCATATCGGATGCCAGTGCAAGCCCCTGTCAGATGTTTTTATAGCTTACTACAGACTAGACCTCAGTCTTTAGATCTTCTTTTTACATTTTTGACCTGTTTCTTCCTGTATGAATGCCTTGGGGAGCTTCACTGTTGACCTTCCATGACTAATGCTGATTGTTTTAGTATCCACAATACTCAATAAAATTTTTCCATGGAGCTCCTAGTTAAGTCAATTAGTGACAAAACCCTGAGGATGGTGACTTTTATATCATTCCAAATCAAATCAGCCCCCTCTAGTGGCAGTGAGGTCATTGGTCTCCATGGAGCTAATAGAATGATGGAAGAATCTCCATATAAAAATTACGCAGAGCTCCCTGTTGTTAAGTTATTGAGAGTCAATAGCTTTTCTTGAACAAATATTTCTAATTTGTTGTATGCCTTTGGTTATAGAGTTCTAAAACGGCTGCTTTTCATAATCCTGTTATCATCTTCATTGCTTTCTAAAGAAAGAGAATTTTCTAAGGACCTCAGTCTATTGTTATGGAAGTCTCACAGTTGGATGATAAATTTGCATGATCATTCTGTTTAAAGGGTCAATTTGTTACTCAAAAGCAGAAATTGTCACCATGTGGGATTACATTCTCAGTGTTGCTCTGTCAACTATGAATAAGTCTATAAAGTCTCTGAAATTTTCATTTTATAAACGGTTTATGAAAATTTTGGGGGGGGTTTTAAATGCAACCACCACTTTGCAATCCCTACCCTAAGGGGTTTTTAACAAATTCAGTCCACCTGCTTTCCAGGATTCATTTCCTCAGTTCACGTTCTAAGAACCTGCCGCTAGCCTGGAATAATGCTGGCTGGTAGGTAGATAATGGAAGTAACATGAAGAATGTAGAATTCATTGGACTTAAATTAGTATATTGGGTCAATTAGAGCTCGTTTGAAGATTTTCTTTCTAAGGTCCTATGAAGGTACTTCAGAAAGTTTGGGGAAAATTTGAATGAAAAAACAAATTCATTTTGGTGGAAAAATTTTGAAATACATGCATAGTTTTATTTTCATGGATTTCATGGATACACAATTCCCATGAACATTTTAAAGAACCTTTGTACACTGCAAAATATAGTATCTGTTACTTGGTTTGTTTTAGAAAAGATAAGTAAAGCTATTTCTTCAGACATCCTTATCTGAATAATTTCAGATTTTGGTGGTTGGGGGTGGGGAGCAAAGAAACTTTGAATTATTTTTAGTTTTTAAAAGATTCAATATAGTTCATAAATATAATTCTAAAAATATGATTTTCCCTTCCTTCTTTCCTCCCAATCTCCTTTCCATCTTTTCTTTTTTTCTCTTTTCTTTTATCTTCTTTTTTTTCTTTTTCTCCTTCCTTTTCAGTTTTTGAGATAATGTGTGTTTAATTTACATTATATTCAAGGACTTAATTCTCTATCAAATAAAGTGTTCAACAAGTTATAAAGCAAAGAGATCCTAGCTTAGTGAGAATATAGGCAAGGACTGTAAACAATCAGATTTTATATTACAGAAATTCTAAACTGCAAATATTTTTTGAAGTACAAATTTTCATAAAGAATCCACGCTCATTTCAAAATAAGCTACAGGGTATTTGAATTGGGGTTGAAATGTCTACTGAAAATGATATTGGAAAACAGATAATCATGCAAATCTTTGAAAAAATGAACCTTTTTGCACGTTTCAAAAACATTACCTTATATCATTGCAAACCTGTCAAGCAATTTCAGTGATCATGGTAATTCATATTCAAATATTCACCATGTTTGCTCATGGCATTGATTGTCCCAGATGTTCCAGTATTGTAAAAAGACATTAAGACTAATTTTTAAATATTTAAAACACTGTTTTCACTGAGCAAACTATGGCATTTCCAATTTTCCAAAGAAAAGAATCTTTCGATCTGAAGCTAGCTCTTACAATGCAAGCTAATGTTGATTAAAGACTCAGTTTCATAGTCAGTTGTGCTTTCCCCTTGAGATAGACCCCTCCCAATACAGTTGCCATAATCATTCACATTGGTGTACTCTAGAAAGAGCAATCACATCCAATCACTTGGCTCCAGTAAATCAGCGCTACCCTCCACTCCACGGAGTGGTGAAAATGTGCTACCTAACAGAAATTCATTCTATCAACACAGATTTCGAAGATCATGGAATAGGATTTTATATAAGGGATAAACATAAAGATCATGTTTTAAATGCAAAATCTATTCTCTATGGCAGTCTTAATTGGTAATAATTCAACCAGGGCTTTCAGCAAGACTTTCCATTTTAGGTCACATTTTTGTTCCAAATCAACATCCATCTGGAAGCAATTGCATGGTATTGTCAACCTAGCATTAAAACTATGATAACTGGTGTCTGGGTTTGCATTTTCTCCTGATGTTTGATGTGATTTGGAGCTAATGGATTAGCAACCTCTTTGGGTTAAAGTATTCCTATTTGTAAAATAGAGATTTCTCGATTATCCATTTCTCATAACTTGTTCCATGAGAGATATATAGCACTGTTTCTAAGGCATTCACATGTCAAATAGGTCAGAATATTTACAATCTTCTTGTCAATTTTCAGCAGTGTTTGCTGTGCTATTTTTACTTTGATAGTTACTCCAGAAGCATTTGAGTTCAATTACTGTATAGAAACATACATTTTTAGGCCAACTTTAGTCAAAGGTTGCCCTATATAAACCCTTAAATTCTTGAGAAAGTACAGAATACTGATTACTGACTTATTAGAATATTCTTCTATTTGTGGTGATATAAAAAGAGATATATTTAAATACCCTGGTTCTAAAAGTAGGGCATTGTAATGTATAATTATTTGCAGAAATTTTTATTTCTTGCCTTGTTATCATTTTTCCCAAGGTGATTCTCCATTACATTCTCATTAAAAATGATAAATACTGAAATATATACAATACAAAATCAGGGAATGGAAAACTAATGCAATCTTTTTCACTAATTATTCATCAGATTTAGAGTTCAGCAGCCTGTAAATGCAGCAGGCATATTGTCGAACTGGAGTTCACTGGGCTCACGGTTCTCTGTAATAAAGGCTAGAACTCTAGAACTTGTCAAGCAAAGTACTACAACCTGATACAGAATACATCATTTTCCCCTTGTGATTGAGATGGATATGTGGTCATATGGACATAACTTATAACATCTGCTTCTACAAACTATAGTGCAAAGCTAAATTGTGAACACTATATAGCAGAAATTTAGACCGTAAATGAAAACAGAAGCTTTATAATGAGCCTTAGGTTTGCGTTTTGTTTTGGTGGGTCTTATGACTGTGCTGTAACCAAAAGCACACCCATTATTCTACGAATGCATCATCGTTCGTAATGGAGAAGCACTTCTGAGGACCACGTAAGAGCATCCTTTCTGCTGACCTTTCCACTTCTGTTTAGGAGATTCAGAAGTTACTTATGGAAGCGGCAATAGAATCTTTGCATATTTAAAGGACTGAGGCACTGGGCCAGCTTAGACAGGCCTAACTTTGATACAGTTTGTTAACAGTCAGAACTCCCTCTTTATGAATTCTGGAATTCCAAGTGAGTCATGTGGTGGCGGGTGGGCTGGGGTTGGGGGAGACAGGACATAAAGTGCTCCTTTCACACCTGTTAATATTTGTTCAAACAACAAACAGGTGGTCCCAGTGAAGCATTCCTCATCACAACTAACGAACAGTTAAAGGAAGACACGGAGCAAGAATGGAGCAGTTACAAGGCCACAGCAAATGCCCCCTCTGCAAACGCCCCCTGGGAAGCAAGTAGGTTCAAGGTGCACTGCACCACTGATGGGAGAGAATACCCGGCTTGGCCTGCTTCATCTCTCTATGGCTGAACTGAGTGTTCTTTCCAAGTGCTACTCTTCAGAATTAGATCAAAGCTGAAAAACAGGAATTGTTTAGTTTGTTTGTCTTTCAGGAAATGTTAACAAAAACATGATTTGTTTAAAATGATATATGCTCACAAGATCAGTTAATTTTTTATTTTTTAATGAACATTTAAGATTCATATACAAAAGCTAACAGAGCAATAAGTCAATCATGAAATACATACAACGAAATAAAACGGAAAATAACTCAATTACACATTCTCACCACTGAAGCACTACACGCTGGCGGCAGCGAAAGAGAGGTGTCAATGTTTTGGAGACAGTGACCTCTGGGGCCAATGGCCAAGAACATCATCAAAGTACTCTTTGCTTTAACATCTCCCTTTCTTTCTTGGTCATTATTTGGCTAGTAGGGAGTATGGGGTGAGGTGAGAAATAATTTCCTTTTCCAAAACAACCTAAAATAATTTTAAGCAGTTAATTTTTCCCTCTCAGAAATATTTTACCTGTTAATCTAACATACTATGTATTTCTGTTATTAAAATTTGTCTGCATCAGTTTTTGCCTACTCTACTTTTTAACATAGATCATGCAGTACTTTTCTAATTTCAGTACAATAAGAATTATCAAAGGCAATTAATTCTGAACATCAATGTCCAGAGTTTCTTTTTAATGAAAAATGTGCTCTTTGTGATCTTTGTTTCTTGCAATTGTTGGTCAAGTAATAATCATGGAGCATTTCCTAAAATATTTATTTGCTGGGAAAATTTGTATGAAATGACATTTGAAGTATAAAAAAATCGGTAGGTAACACTTGGAACAGTTAAAAATAGACTTATCTTGTTTGTAAACTATCAATTTAAGATACTGAGCGTCTGAGTATCAGAGTCAATGTCTCCTCTTTTTCTAGAAAGTTGTTTGCTTTATTTATCAATGACATCTTTGAAACATCTGAAGTTACATATAGAAACATCAAGGCAATATTATTTGTACATATTATTAAACATGCAAAAATTTCCTGAAAGATAGTGTTCAAATATGAAGAGTCTGTCTGAGCTCACCCTCTCCCGGGTACCATTTCGCTGGAAGTATGGCTCTCTTGGAGTTTGGGAGTGTGGTGGATTATTTTGGAGAGGCAGCCCCTTTAATCACCGGCTCCCTATTCAAATATGTTGCCCAGTAAACTAGGTTGAAAGTGCCGAACAAGACTGGGAATACAATTCGGGACATCTTGTCAATCTTGCTGATGCTGTTGTAAGTCTTTTTGCTTTCAGAGGTCTTCTCTTCAGATGGTTTTGCTGAGGCTGAAGATGCATTTGAGGTTCCTGCTGGGGTCTGCTCCTTTGGGATGTTGGGGGGGTGGGTCATCTTCCCAGTGGTAAAAGCATTTGTGGACTTATTCAATATGAGTTCACGCTCCTTTTTCTGCAAAACATAGTGAGAATGTAATGGCATGGCTTCTACTTGTGATCCTCAGCTCACTGGAGTTCTATGGGTGTGTGTCTCATGCATACAGAAACATCAGCTTATCCCTGGGGGAGGGCAGTCCTCTACAGACTTACTATTTCTTAAACTGGTATTTATTTATTTTCACTTTATTGGAAAGGCAGAGACAGACAGAAAGAGATCTTCCATCTCCTGGTTCACTCCCCAAATACCTGCAGTAACAGGACTGAGCCTGGAAGCCAGGAGCCTGGAACTCAGTTTGGGTCTCTTGTATGGTCAGAAGGGACTCAAGTACTTGGGCCATCATCTGCTGCTTCCTGAGATGTGTGTTAGTGGGAAGCGAGATCAGAAGCAGAAGAGTCAGGATTTGAACTAGGCAGTCTGGTCAGAAATGTGGGCATTTCAAGAAGTGACTTAAGTGCTGCTCCAAGTGCCCACCCCTCCACAGACTTCTAAGTCTGTAACTCCACATAGCCAGAAGCCAGAGAATGAAACAAGAGGCATTGTTGATATTGATGTTGAGCATTTCTCCAGAATCTAGCATGCACTGGATCAACATTTATCTTAGATCACAGAGCAGACATCATTTCTGTACCTTTAAGGCATAAGTAGGAGTTAGTAATGTACATGGATATAAGAGACTTCTAGGGAATGCCCTATTTGAAAGAGGAAAGGGGGGAGTGATTAAAATCATTATAACACATGCATTCTTTGGGGTAATTTGTCTTTATCTCAGCACAACACTTCAGAGAATCCTCCATGTCATGTCCTGTAATCAGTAATTCATTCTTTCTTACACTGTGTAGTATTTCTGTGTGTGAATATGCCATCACTTGTTTATTCTTCTCTTGATGGTTACCCACACTATTGACTATGCAATCTTGACTTGATCAATTCAGCAGTTATGAATATTCTTGTATACATTTTTGGGCATCACATTTTTGTTTCTCTGGGATAGGAAATTCTAGAGCAGCAAGAAAATGTATGGTGTCAAAAAATCAAATAGTGTTTACATTTGGAGAGATGGGGAGAGATAGTGACTAGAAAATGTTATGGTGAACTTTCTGGAGGCTGTTGATGTTCTCTATCTAGACAGAGATTAGGAATACACAGGTGCACATTACATGGTTGCCAAATCAGATATGCTTAATACTTGTGCATTTTATGCTACGTAAATTTTGCATCAAAAGAATAACAGCAAACCGATATGGAACTCTAGTGTGAGATTTGGAAGAGCCATGTGGGCAAGGTCAGGTCTCTTCATGAGAAAGGAAACAGCAACATCAAATCGAAAAGCAGCCTATGGATGTCAATAGGATAGAACTGAGAGTGCTCCATGGAATCAGAGTGCCCTGGTTTTCTGTTACTGGCTTGTAGACTCTGGTGGAGAGGCAGGACATACAGTGCTAGTCTTCTATAATGCCTTCTAGGACTCTCGTCATGCTGGTTTTCCCACTGGACAGATTAAGTTATACTTTGACTTCTGCCCTGAATGACTGCAACCTCCTCTTCTCTAAGCACAAAGGATATGCTTATTTGTTTTATGCATGCATAATCAGCAGCTTATCATATGCTATTTTATATCCTATCTGAGTATGTTACTCTTACCTCCCCAAGGAAATGATTCAGCTTGGAGCCTTCTTTAAGTATTCCTTAAATTTAGGCACAAATCACACTTGAGATAACTGATGATTAATTATTTTGAACAGAATAATACTTTTCACAACAACTGATGTCCATCATTTAAGTGAGCTAAAGCACTTAGTCAGTGGGACTGGACATGTTTTGTTGATGTGCTGCTTCTATTAATGTGCCTCTTCATGACCTTGAAGAAGAAGGACACACTGCACGACGATGTGGCAAAAGAACAGGCTGAATGGACTGTACAATTAGAAACTGGACAAGTCATCTCGGAAGAGAAGAGAGTTACTTTCGCAAAAATAATAGACTTGAATAGAAATAAGCCCAAGTCATTCACAGACCATCAGAGCTTTAGCTTGAATGAAGTTAGTGACTCAAAGTAAATTAGAAAAGTGACCTGCTGTAAATAAGACACTGTGAGGACTCTGAATATATGGGAATGGTTGTGAGAAGGCTAGGGAGGGTATTAAGTTTAGACATGGAATCAGGGAATTTCTCTGTCAAGGGAATCTGAAAGAAAGGAGGAGGAGGAAAATAAAGTCAATACCTTGATCTTGGCTGCTTCCAAGGCTTTCTTGCCATCCCATGCCCAGCCTCTCTTTGTAAAATAGTTGACTGTGGCAAACTCGATCAGTGCAGAGAACACAAAAGCATAGCACACAGCAATGAACCAGTCCATGGCAGTGGCGTAAGCCACTTTGGGCAGAGAGTTCCGAGCACTGATGCTGAGAGTCGTCATGGTCAGCACTGTGGTGACCCCTGCAGTAGTCAGATGGGGACAGAGTGGAGAACGGAAGCAGGGGTCAGTTATTGGTACCCAAGACCCCAGGACAACACCCAAAGAACTGGTTATTTTGATCCTAAGCAGCACCATCAGCCCTCAATGTTTTCATGGCCTTTAACACATTCATTAAATTGAAAACATTGCTTATTATATTGACCACAATTGTCTCCTCTCTTTGAATGCAAACTGGACAAGGCCAAGGATTTGTGTCTGGTTTCTATACACCCATGTCCCCATTTCTTTGAACTAATCAAATAGTTGGTTGCTAGATGTGTTAAATGAGTGGTATGTGTGTCTTTGTGGCACTAGGGGGAAATCCAATAGAGAAGTGGTGATTACACTAATGCTACTTCTAGTAAAATACTTAATAAAAATTTACTGGATGCCTTGTAAGTAGTGGACTACACAGACAAGTAAGACAATTTATTTCCCAAGGTAAACCCAACCTGCAGATTTGAGAATACCATGTAAAAAGACTGGAGTGACGGTGCCACAGCTAGGAAACCACCAGAAGGGAAGGAACAGCCCCCACCACCACACCAGCAGCTCTCAGGAGGGACCATCCTGCTGGCACCTCAACTTCCAGCTGCCAGAGCTGGGAGGCAACAACATTTTGCTGTTCAAGACTCCTAATCTGTGGTGCTTTGTTATGCTGGCCCTAGGAAACCAGAACAGCACAGCACACACAGGAGTGGAATGTTGCTGGTGGTTAAAGCCGCTGTTGGATTTCACTCAATGCTACCCTCCAAAGGTATTTATATATATATAACTCATTGAATATGGAGTCCTGCATGGAATTAATGTTTCATGAGAAATCAGTAGGAACCTGATTTTTCTTGGGAATCCAGCTGATCATTGTGCCAAGAGAAGTGCTCTGTATATGATCTCACACAGGCCCTTGCATCCTCTTAGGTTCTTTAACATCCCAGCATACATTGAGAATCTCCAGGAAGCAAACTGTCATGGGCAATACTTTTAAACAACTTTTCCACGCACACTGTTTTCCCTCATTAGGAATGCTGCCAGCTCATCAGCAACCTCCACAGCTGCCCAGGCTCAGCAAGGGCCGGCAAGTAGAGTGGGCACGTGGCTGGAGGGAGTGCGATGGTTGGGAACACTCCTGGGCCACTCACCTGTGAACTCCCTGGATCCTGGGCCCCTGTACATACTGAGGGAGCACAAACATAAAATGCATGTGAACATCTTCACCTAGCAGGGGTGGGGGACTTGCAGCCTGTGGGCTGTATAAGGTCCCTGAAATCATTTGGTCTGGTCCTGCCAAGGCAACCAGTAGCAGGACTGGAAATTCAATAAATCTATAGTGGGCTATTTTGAGGCTGATAATTTTGTATGGCCCATGAATGATGTTATACATACTCAAATGACCCTCGGCAAAGCAAAGATCCCACACTCCTGATTAGAGCAAGAGCTTACATATGGATCAGTTTACAGATTTGAAAGGTGTGATCATCAGTTATCACAACTGACCTACAAAACTACCTTTAGCATCTCTTCCTAGCCTTGAGGAAACTGAACTTCAGGGTGTCACTCTACTGTGATTACTGTGCCAAGGGCTCTCCTGAGCTAGATCCTTCTAAACATAGGTTACGCCTTGGGGATGTAAAATGATGTTCTAGATTTTTATCATACAAAATGGCCCTTGGCATCCACAGGGGATGGGTTCCAGGATTCCCCCAAGGAATCCAAAATGTGCAGAGGTCCAAGTCCCTTCTATAAAATGACATATTATTTGCCTATAACCTATACATATTCTCAAATCATCATATACATATACTTCAAATCATCTCTAGATTATCTGCACCTAATATGTAAGTGCTGTGTAAATAGTTGTAATACTGTATCATTTAGGGAATAGTGGCAAAAAAAAAAAAAGTCTGTGCAGTACAGACAAAATTTTTTTCTAATATTGTTAACCTATGGTTGGTTGAATCCCTGGAAGCAGACCCCATGGACACAGAAGACTAGCAATGTAAATATGAGCATGTATGTGTGTGTTTAGTTTACCACCGTCAAATCACATGTAATGTATTCACTGCCACTTGGTGGTTAATTTTGAAATGGCATGTACCTTTCAGAGGAGATTGCCTGATGACTTTATGGGAAGTGTGAAAATACAATACCAAACTCTCATACAAGAGACATAAGCTGGCGATTTCAAGCCTCAAAACAGGACTGCATTATTCCTTCCACCCTTATTTAGTGGGAAATTCTAAATTCAACCCTGAAAATCAAAGTCCTAACTAATTGACCCATTGGTTTCCAAGGTCTCCAAATGGAGAGGATGACGCTGGACGTTTGATGGTGGTAGCTGTTGCTTTGCAGGTGTTTAGGGCCACTCATAAAGCATCCGCCACTAAGCCTTGGGGACACTTACCAAAAACTGTCCTGGCAGGTACTGATTCTCGGTTCAGCCAGAAGGACACCTGAGATAGGATCACTGTCATTATGCAGGGAAGGTAGGTTTGGATGACAAAGTAACCGATCTTCCTTTTCAGGTGGAAATGAGCTGTCATGATTGTGTATTCACCTGCAAATAAGCAAATTAATGAGCATCAGTCACCTAAAGTCTCAGGCCACTGGACCAAAGGAGTTCCAGGGAACCTGCCTTTGTTGCACCTTCTGACAAGTATTTATTCGTATTTTTGGATTTAAGGAGAGGTGGAATCATGCATGAATTTCTTAATGGTCATTTTATGTATAAGTCTTGTGACCCAGCCTCCGAAAGCCTTTAACTGGTGGATGGTTTTTCTGGGGAAAATCAGATTTGTGTGTTTTACTAATCCCCAGTCACAATCTGTCCAGGCTCCCAGGCGCCCTCGCCTGCTACTGCAATCAGGATTTCAGGATTTAGGATCCGCAGATATAATTCGGGATATCAAAGAGCCCTGTTGTGGGAGGACAGACTCCCTCCTTGTACCCAGTCCAGAGGCTCCAGGGAGGTGGAAGGACCACTCTTCCTCGGGTGACAGGCCGTGTGCTCACCCGCTGCAGGGAGAAGGGAGAGGACGGCAGCTCAGGAGGCACTGACCCTGGCCGCTCTTCCTTTCTGCCACCCACCAGAGAGACGGGCAACCTCTGTTCTCTGAGACTGGGGGCATTTCCTTGGCAATGCCCAAGTGCCTTATCTGGATTTGCCTGGCTGTGTGGAAGGCAAGCGGGGACCTCCCATTCATCGCTGAGAACAATGCTGTCCTGATGGTTAACTGGTAAGGAGCTGAGGTGGGTGGATGGCTGGTTAAATGAGGAGTGTTGTCCCAGAGTCTCCTTGTGACTTGAACTGTGCACCCCTGGATGCTCTGAGACATGGAGGCAGAGTTGAGCTGATGGGAGGACAACCATTCTTTGGCTGCATTGCAAGGAGTGGATGGAGTGACCGGGCAGCAGGCTGCATGTGAACATGGGGAGAACGGGATTAAGTTCTCCGTGTATGCGGACCTCTGGTGCAAGCTCATGGATTAGATGTGCATGGACAGAGTGCTGGAATGTTCAGAGCTGATGACATGGCTCCGATGCTTACTGTGAAAAGCAAAGCCCATGGCTTAGCAAGGCCATCTTGAGGCTGTTTTTCTGAGGGTCTTTATTCATAACACATCATACATTCCAGCCAAAGAAACTGTAACAATCACTTGTGGCAAAATCTGCCCTCATTCAGAAAAGGAGCAGCACCGTGAGACACACTGCCAGTGGAAGGGCACATCTTTCCCAAGACCCTCAGCAGGTGACAGTAGAGAGAGGGGCCAAACAGGCTCCAACGTGGGAGTGAGAAGCATGGATAAAGAGAGGGAGAGGGGCATGGTTAGTAGCTAGAACTGGAGCTTTACATTTGAAGAAATGAAGTTTCTTTAAGTAAGGTTTGAAATTGCTACTTTTTTTTTTTTTTGACAAGCAGAGTTAGACAGTGAGAGAGAGAGACAGAGAGAAAGGTCTTCCCTTTCCATTGGTTCACCCCCAAAATGGCTGCTACGGCTGGCGCGCAGTGCCGATCCGAAGTCAGGAGCCAGGTGCTTCTCCTGGTCTCCCATGGGGTGCAGGGCCCAAGCACTTGGGCCATCCTCCACTGCACTCCCTGGCTACAGCAGAGAGCTGGCCTGGAAGAGGGGCAACCGGGACAGAATCTGGCACCCTGACCGGGACTAGAACCCGGGGTGCCGGCGCCACAAGGGGGAGGATTAGCCTAGTGAGCCGCAGCGCCGGCCTGAAATTGCTACTTTTAATTCATTTTACTTTTGTTTTATGAGTTTGCAGTAGGAAAATCAGGTAATTTTTTCTGAGAAACCTGCCTTTTTAGAATATAAATAGGGGCAGAAACAGCGGTTATAAATTTCTGGAGAGCCATATGCAGCAACTGCGAACTGTAACGTCTTCTGTTACTGCCACAATTCTTCACAACCCCAAACTCCTTTCCCTCCGTTCCATAAAATCACACCGCTTGCTCTTCCTTTCCCTTTAGCGTGGTAACCAAATGGAGACGCAGTGCTCCCAGGCTCTCTCACATACACCCGGGGTGCCCAGCACGCAGGGATGGTCAGCAGGGCCCTGGCTGCATGCAGGTGCCTGTGCAAGAAGGGGTGGAGGTGCACCAAATGTCCGTTTCAGGGGACCGTGCTGACAGTCAGAGACACTGGCCAGGGGCTCCCTAAGGACTGGGCTCAGAGCTCCCTCTGCCACCAGGGATCCCTTGGTTCCTTTGGGCCTTTGTCTTCTGCAGTGCAGCCTGTCTGAAGCCCTGAAATGCCCTGGCCCCCCCATAGCACCGCCTTCTCACTACTTGGTCTGGGCCTGGAGGCATCTGATTGTGTAACTTGAAGGCTCAGGAGGTCATCCTCATCTGATTCTTTGCACTTCCACCCCATCCCGTCTTCACATTTGGAATTGAGAGCATCTGCTTCCCTCTTGGTCCCACCTCAGCTATTCCTCTGATGCTGCTTAGTTGCACTTTCCCAAATTCAACCCCAGGGAAATCTGCTCTGAGATGATCAGAACAGGAGGCAGGGAGCAGGTAACAGGGAGTGCTTGCAGGAAGCCATTGCTTCTTCTGCAGAGACGGTCCTGTGTGTCAGTGCTTTGGACAGGGCTGTTACATAAGCAGGTCCTCGTGGGCTGCAGGTAGGACCTGCTCACAGGGTGGCAAATGCTCTGCAGATTAATGCCTCACATCCGCTTTAATGCTGCCAGTCGCAGCAGCTGGTGCTTCTGTGGGCAGCTGCAGGGAGGGGCCTGACAGGGAGCACAGCTTCTGGGCAGACTCACAACAGCTGTGCCCTGTGTTTCCAAGGACAGCATAGCTGGCCAGGGTGCACTGTGTGTGGCTGGTGCAGAAAGGGGTCAGGAGCCCTGAGTTCCTTCATGGTGTGGTGTCCTGCAGGTACCTGGCTGCTCTTACCTGTGCTGGTGCTGATATTCTCGGTGCCCACTGTCTGTCCCATCAAGTGATACTGGTTCAGTCTGGAGCCATCCTCCGCCACCACAACAGACTTGGTGGAGCCGTTGGTCCAGACATAGACGACTTCAGAATTAGGGTATGCATCTGTAGGGCAAAGAGACACAGTGGCATAAACATGGAATCATTCCCAGCCTGGAAAAAAAACAAAGGTTTTGGTAAAAGAAGCATGAGAGAGGACAGAAAAGTTTAGAAGTCAATGTATGGGACCTAAAGAGTAGTGTAGAGCGGTCAGACCAGGGCAGACACCACTGGGTTTAGGTCCTTCCACCCCACTGCAAAAGGTCTGCATGCTCATAAGATGGTTCCTGGTGATTCCTGAGATGTGATTTCTCTTTAGAGTGCGTGGCAGGAAGCAAAGGAGAGCATCAGTTCAGAGCCCAGAATGCATGGGTCTCTTTCACTCCGTGATCGTGGCAAGTCACTTATTCTCTGTGTATTTCTTCACCTGTAAAACGGGGTGATTGCGGCACCTGCTTCTTAGGGCCCTGCTAAGACTCCATGGCCTACATAATGACTTATATGCACAGAGTACTTGGAGCAGCAGACAAGGGTGTCCAGGACTCTAAACTCTTTGCTGCCTGCCCTGTCCTTGGTGGGACGGTGGCAGGGCAGGTAGAACCTGTACCTCTTGGTATCATAGATACAGTTATTTGCATGACAAAAGGCACTTGGCAGAATAGAAAGAAGGTGATGGATTCCATAATCAGGAGATGATCCTGGATTATCCTAGTGGGCCCACACAATCACTTGGTCCCCAAAACACAGAGAGACCCCTCACCAGCTGGATCCAGACAGGGATATTCAAGGCATACAGAAAGAACTCCACTGTATATTACCAGCATTGAAGACAGAAGGGAACCATGAACCAGTGAGTATGGGGGCCCTTGAGGGGTGAGAATGAATCCCAGGTGACAGCCAGTCAGCTAATAAGGAATGCAACTCCACAGCCACATGCAATGGGATTCGGCCAACCACCTGCATGAGCCTCAAAGGGGTTTCACCCCCTAGAGCCTCCAGAGGAGATACAGCTTTGATGACACTGATTTGGGCCTTGTAAGACTCAGGGCAGAGGAACCAGCCCAGCCCTCTGCGCTTCTGGCCTACAGAGCTGTAGCATAGCAGATGTGCTATTCTAAACTGCTAAATTTGTGATAATCTGTCATGGCAGCAACAGAAAATTAAAATGGGTATCATGGAAAACAAACTAAACTCCCTCTAGGAGGAAGACAAACATTACCTGTAAGACGTAATATATATGACATGACAGTAACAGAAACACAAGTTAGGAAGAAGGAACAGGTGCCATTTTAAATGGAATGGTACCATAAGGGCCATCTCAGCAGATCCAGGGGGTGTGGAGGAGCTGTCAGGTGGCCCTTAGGAGGCAGACCATCCCAGACAAAGGGAAAGTAAGTGAAAAAGTCCTGAGGCAGGAGCATACCGGAGATGCCTGAAGAGAAGCCAGACACGCAATGAGGCACGGCAAAGGGCACATCAGATAAAGCAGAACCCCAAGGTTATGGTCAGGCCTTTAATTTTTCTTCTGAGTCATGAATATAGTGGAAGTGGTGTTTCAGTGAATATGTGGCTTATGCTAGTTGATGCTCTGGCCAAGATGGGAGAACGAAAGGCAGGTGGACCAGGGACATAAGGGGGTGGGGCAATACTAAAATAATCCAGGAGAGAGACAATGACAGTGAGAAGTGGAGAGAAGAAATTAGGGATGTATTTTAAAGGAAAGGTTCCTCTAGTTGGTAAATGAATGCCAGGTGAGCTGTGAGAAGAAGAAGCTCTTGTGCTCACTAAGATGGCCAGATCCAAGAAGGTTCTGGCCTCGGGTAAAAGATCAGACTCATACTACCCAGGCCATCCTGCTCCACAGCGATGGCCACCTGACAGCCAACTTTGGAGGATGTAGGGCCAGGGTGGAGTCAGAGTCAGGAAAATGAGTGATATGACTCTAATCTTGGCCTGAACATTGGTAAGATATTAAATAGAAGTAAATAGTGTAAATGCGGGTATAGCAATTGATGCTATACTCAGCTCATACTGCAGGGGATGCTGAGTGGTGTTCTTGTCAAGTGTGCTTTTTTAAATTAGCATGACCCTCTGTTTTATGTAATATAGAGGTGTTTTCACATGGACAGCATTGGCATTCTCCCAATTCATGTGCATTCTGTTATAATTTCTCTCCTCTATTCGGGGAGATGCCATTTGTGGTGATGCGGCTCTCTACTTTACTTTGACCATTGGCAATTTTGTGCATATTCTGTTTATCTGATGGCTCCCTGATTTCCACATAAATGGCAGTGAGAGTTTTATCTTTTTTCGTATTATGTAAATGGTTCAGAACCCTACGTAATGAATGGCTGTGGCTGTCAGACACGGATTTCAGCAGCCATGCTGGATTCCAGCTGGGCTGTTGAGTGTGGAGCAGACAGGAGCTGGTAATGAGGCAGTGTACTCTAGGTAGAGAGCAAGCTCCTTTTCCCTGTGATTCCAGACTGGCTCAGGCTGGCTGTGCGCCTGCAGTCCTATGCACCTGTTCTGTATTTTCTCCCTAGATTATCTGCCTCATACCAGGGAAGTTTCCTGTGTTGTGCTGCCGGCTTCCCCCAGTGGCCACAGTCACAGGGAGGAGGGTTATAATTATCAATTAACAATCCCTCTATTCCATTTCCAAGTCGGCAGGGGAACTGTGAGTCTTACCTCTAGCCAAGAGAAGAAAGATAGGCTACTACAACTCTTGGAAGACATAAATGGTTGGAAAGCAGGATTCCGGAAGCTCACAAAGGAACTCAAAGTTTGAGGCAGTAGGTTTTAGTGACTGAAAAAAAGTTCTGGAAGTTAGGAAAGGTCTCCCTAGAAAGAGGATGGAACACAGGACACATGAGCTGACTACTTGGTGCCAAGTTTGCTCAGCAAGAAAGAGAAAGGAGGTAGAGAGCAGGTGATACAAAGGGAGAAGAAAATTCAAGACCCAAGGTGCTCTGGAGAGTGGCAGAGGTCTAGGGGTGCAGGTGCCCCCTCTGAAGGCCTGGAGAGAGGCCAAGCGAAGACACAGATGGGAGTTGTAGAGTCAGAGAGCCACAGAGGCGGGTGTGCAGGCTGACCTCCCCCATCCGCCCTCCTGAGTGCATCACTGCTGGTCACTCTCACAACAGCACTGAGATGGCACAGTGTTACCCATGGGTTTTCCTTAGGTTCTGAGGTCGAGTGGCATGTTGGCCAGGGAAGCAAGCCAGCAGGGAAGGCTGTAGGGCTTGCAGGTTGGGGCAGAGACCAGCTCTGTTAACCTACTGCCTTTTCAGTCATGAGTCCTCCTAATCCCTTTCGCACTGTCCAGAGTACAAATGGCCCTGATTTATAATTTAGGATTTTTTGACTTTATAAAGGCATAGAAAGCAATATGCATTCAGTAGAACTGCACTTAGAATCTTTTTTCTGGGCCAGTGGCACACAGTCTAATCCTCTCTCCTGATGCCGGACAGCAGCAGCAAGCTGTAGCTCCTTGCTGGCCATGGGATTGCAAGGGCAAGCAACACATATTGTACTTTAAAATGTAACATATTCAGTAAGTTACTCACAGTCAATATTTTATTATAAAACAGGCTTTGTGTTATATGATTTTGCCCAACTGTAGTCTAATATAAGGTACTGAAACACATTTAATTTAAGCCAGTTTAAGCTATTGATGTTTAGTAGGTCAAGCATACTTACTATATTTTTTTATTTCCTATATTTTCAAGTTGCTATGAGTTCACCTAAACATAACCTTATCCCAAGTTGGGAGTCATCTGCACTTGCAGTGAGTATCCAATACAATAGTTATAAGTAGATAAAAGTTACTTGAAATCACAGTGACACACGAATGCTATTTAAAATCGACACATGATCTTATTTGTCAAACTGTATTAAGTGACTTATTGTATCAGTGATGTTAATAGCATTAATAATAATAACAATAGCAAGAAGCAGTGTGGCTGTGATCATGTAATTCAACAATGCTGGGTTCTGCTCTCCTCATCAAATTTAGGGTGGGAAGAAATGACTAGTCATGTCCATTTCAGCTCAGTCATTTAGCAACAAACACAAACTTCTACATGTGGCATCCAATCTTTTAGTTGGGACAACAGTGAGTGAGGCAATCAGGTTTGCTGTGCTATGATTTGCCATGCTTTAGAGCTCCGGAAAACACAAGCTCACCATCGTCTGACTGTATGTCACAGAGCCCATCGAGAGGGTCTGTAACATTTTCCCTCACAAACAATTTGGGAATTCACCACTGCTTGCCTCAAGGCTTCTTCTCCAGGACTGACACTTTCTGTCTTCTTCTAGCACTTCGAAGCCTGAGCAGGAAGTGCTGATGGTGTGACTGACCTCTTATCTACAAGGCGGTTCAGAGCCATGAGTTTTTCCCTGTGAATTAAATAGGACAGCATGACTCAGACATTGATTACCAGAGTGACTTTGTACAACCTGAGAACTATGCTTCCATTTCTCCATGTGTAGACTGGGGTGCTGTGAGGACAAATTATATCCATGAATATCACATGCCTGGCACACAGTAAATGCTTAGTAAGTAGTAGCTACAATGAATGTAACCATATATTAAGAAGGATGTTTATTTGATGTCAAATCTTCTCTTGTGAAAAGATCTTTCTATTTGAATTTATTTTCTGATTTTTGGTCAAAAGCAAACCAAATTTGTGAGAGTGGTGGTCAGCTTTGTCTAACAGGCTGCATGGGGACACATGGGAACTGTTGATAACTAGGTAGGAAATCTGTAGTGCTCTGTGCATGAACTGCTTACGATGATGAGGACATGCAGACTAAAATGTAACAGGTAACTAGAGTTGATGTGATTTGAAAATGTCCAGGGTTTCAGTTGTTGGAAACCCATGTCTCTAGCCTTCCCCTCTCTTCTAAGCCCCGGCAGGGATAAGCATAGTAACTACTTCATAAGACCTCAGCACATTCCTCCTTTGAGACCTGCAGGCCACTCAGCACCCCCCGACTCAGTCTCACGAGATGAACCAGTCAATATTTGACACATCAATGGCCCAATAAAAATTTAAATCTTC